GCCCTTTCGACCCATGATAGGGAGATACCTATGCTAGTGGACGACCCGTATCCATTCAATCGCCCATGAATAGTCTCGCATGCAGAAAGATAGGATACGCATGGTGTGATGATACATAAAATATTCATTGATTTTTTTCTTAAATCAGGCTTTCAAAATTAACTCTACGATTTTAGAAACCAGATAGTTAATATTTTTAGAGACATTAATATTAAGCTCCAGCATTTCAATTGTGAAGATGTTAATTTAGTATCTACAAACAAAATAGTTCATTGTGTTTACAAGGTATAAAGAAAAAGCCCAACATGGACCTTGCGAAGTTGATAACGCAATTTTTGATTTGACCAAATTTAATGACCATAAGATTGAATTTTTTGTTAATACTATTAGGTATACTAATGAAGCAAAGAAAAAGGTTAAAATTATGAGATCAAATATGATACTCTGTACTATGGGATCTTGAGATTTAAAAAAGTCGAAAAGATCACATCTTATAATAAATAATTGATTTATTCATCTATATAATATAATATAATTCACAACAGATGATAATCAACAATGATAAAAGAATTATGACAAAAATAAAGGCAAACAAATTCACTAATTTGACCTCAATCTCTACAAGCGTGATGACAATATACAAACATTTCACTTTGACCGATTGTAAAGTTAAAATTTTCTTAATCGTTGAGTACTATAGTTTAAAGTTAAAATACTATAGTTTAAAACTTTAATATACTGTATACTTTAAAATGCTGTAATATCTAGCCAGGTTGTTATTTAAGGATTATATCGAATTAAACTTTAATAAAATTGTAAATTTAAAATTCTTTATTATAACGAAGCTTTATTATATCGAGAGTTTACTATAACAAGAGTGACTTGTGTATCTTTAATGTAGTTAGGCAATTATTATTTGAAGACTTCTATGCAACATATAATTGCAGACAAGGGAAAACCTCAAACAGGCATATTATTAATAATATGCCAGTTCGAGGTTTTCCCTTGCCCACACTCATCTACCGTATAAGCTTCAACCTAGAGGTATGAATAGATTAAACAGATTAAACGGGTTGAACAGATTAGAATTGTGTGAATCATGTTTTTACTTGAATAACATTTATTGCATTTTCATGCATGTAGTGTTGTTAGACAAAACCTTTTTGCAAAATGACAAAAGACGAAACTTACCATCTCAAATGACAAAACCTCTGACGAAACCTGCGAAACCTGCGAAACTTGTGAAACCTTCAAAACCTGTGAAACCTGCGAAACCTCCATAAAAACAAATTGGGATGTTATCAATAAAAATGTGCCTTAGTGAAATATGAAATACTGTAATAAAAAATTAGATTATGTTTAATTGTAACATAGGTACTATCATTTTGATTAATGATTAATAAATTTAATTAGATTAAAAGCGATGATACCATGTTACAATTAGAATAATCTAATTTTTTATCATTTTTTGTAACAATTTGTCATATCTCACTATGCATGTTTTTATTAACAATGGAATAAAAGTTAAAGTTCCCTATAAAGAATAAAGCCTCTAGTAAATAATGAAGCCTTAAGGCTATGTTATTGTTTGGATGTAAAGTTATTGTCGTAGCTGATACCTGAAATCAGCTGATGCTTGAAATTTTAATTAATTTAATATAAAATTTTCAAAAATTTTTGGGATGCATTTTGTTAGCTTTTTTTTCATGGTTAGATTAGGGTTTAGGGTTAGTTTTAATAATGAAAGAGTATAAGTAGATTTTGGTAGAGTTTATATTTTTAAATCAAGGTCCCTGATTTCAAGCATCAGCTGATTTTAATCATCAGCTATGATAGTTTTTTTTTTTTTTTTTTTTTTTTTTTTTTATTTATTTATTTATTAATAATATCAAAATAGGAAAAGAATTAGTACATTTGTATATCATGATGATATATATGTAGATCTAAT